TCTATCTGGATGGAAGAATAACAATATCAACACAATTGAGTATGCAAAAATTTGTATATTTTATAAATTGTACAAAGTCTTAAGAATTCTTAAACATTGAATATCTTATAAATCTTAAGTGCTTAAGGTCTTTGTTATGGTGATTACCCCGTACCTCTGATTTTGTATCAAGTACACCTTGTTTTCTATTCTGCTAAACATGTTGTTTATTAGTTTAGGTAAAGTCTCTTGCTATGTGCTTGAGCATCAAAGTCTCTTACTGAGAAGCTTGAGCCAAGTAAGTCTCCTGATATGTGCTAGATCATTGAAAGTCTTGATCAGTTATTGATTGAACAAGGAAGTCTTGGACTGTGAGTCTGATCAGAATTCTTGTACTTAAGGTTATGAGAAGAAGTCTTGGGTTTGTGGAACCTAAGCATGGAAGTCTTGGACTGAGGGTCTGATCAAGATAGTCTTAAGTCTAAGGGGCTTGAGCAAGGAAGTCTTGGATTTGTGGAATATGAGCAGGAAAGTCTTAGGATGAGGGTTTAAGAAGGAAGACTTGAACCTGAGGGGTTTAAGCAGGAAGTCTTGGGATGAGGGTCTGAGTAAGGAAAAATCTTATGCTTAAGTGCATAAACGATTGTAATCATGTTTTGATTATAGTGAAAAATCTCTTATATTGCAAGGAGACTGAACTACTCTTAATTGGGAGGAACCAGTATAAACCCCTGTGCATTATGTTGTTATTTATTTGCTTCTGTTAACATTCTACTGCAACGTATTAATCATAATCTGAACATTAGTGTAGATTCTGAACTGTGATCAGAGGCAAACTAAAGAAATGGAAATCATAATTTAACCCCCCCTTCTTATGTATTTTCTCACCTTCAGTTGGCATCAGATCATGGTTTGTACATAACACTTAATAGTGATGGAGATAATGATCAAAGGAGAAAAATATGTCTGCTAAAGGATGACTCCGCTAAAGGATGGAGATAAGTACCACATGAAAAATATTACATTGTTAATCCTACCATATTCAAAGGATGACTCCGCTGAATTTAAATGATGAAAAAAGCAAAAAATATTTTTAATTTGTTGGTCTTGATAAAGGATTTTGATGAAGGTCAATAAAATACCTCTGAGAAAGGTATTATTATAGAAGTTGATGGTGTATGAATGGTCAAAGTACTTCGATTTTATTTTAAAATTATTGTGATATTCATCAAGAATATAATTATTTTTTAATATTATGAAAATTATTAACTTTTGTTATTTAATAAAATTTGTGTTGAGAGTTGAATAAAAAACAAATAACAAAAGATAAGGGGGTGCAAGAGATACAATTGAGACATAAAAACATAAAAAAAAACCAGGTTAAGCCCAAAACCACACAATAAAAGAAAATAAATAAATAAAAATAACAAAAAGAAAAAGAAAAAAAAAAGAAACAAAAGAGGGGGTGTTAACAGTGCAACCTAGAGCGTTGGCCCAAAGAAAATGCCCATCAGCCTTAGAACCAGGAGAGTCAACTAAATGAATCAATTATGGGCGTCCAAAAGGATGTGTGTATGTAGGACATTGCAATTTTGAATATAACAAACTTTTCACTTTATTCCAATTTCCAATTTTTTTTAATTTACCAAAGTCGTGTTATCTATGTATGATGGTGGTAACAGTGCAACCTAGAGCGTTGGCCCAAAGAAAATGCCCATCAGCCTTAGAACCAGGAGAGTCAACTAAATGAATCAATTATGGGCGTCCAAAAGGATGTGTATATGTACGACATTGCAATTTTGAATGTAACAAACTTTTCACTTTATTCCAATTTCCAATTTTTTTATTTACCAAAGTCGTGTTATCTATGTATGATGGTGGTAAGCGTGTTACTCGTTATTGAAAGGATGAAATGTTTTGTATTTCAAATTCATTAGGTATGGGATGTATGTTGCCATGGTATTGATGCATGTTGCCCTGCTATTTGCAATTCATGTGTATTACCCTCATCTTAAATGACAAAGTTGTTTTATTCTCCACATGTACATTATATGTGATGTGCATGACATATGCTTGATGTTTGCAAATATAGAAGCATGTGGATGGTGTGGGAGCTGAGGTATGAACTTGTGAGGGCTTATGGTGATGCTGAAAAGAATCTTGCGCCACACCAAATTTCAATTTCTTCCTTTTTGTTTTTGGTCATATGGTGGTGTGTACTTTATTGATGATGCTATGTAATAAAACAAATAAAATCTCCTTCAATTTAAATTCAACTTAAAATGTTTTTTTTTTGCTTTACTATATGATGGCCCAAATAAACTTAAATGGATATGTATGGAAAATAAAGAAGAATATGTTATGGCTTTAAATGAAAGACAACTCAAATTTAACTTTGAAAGTTATTTCTCACAAACTTACAAATCAAATCTTGCTCTAAAATGAATGTGTAACATCAATGCTTATGCAAAGTCAATGTTTATTAGAATCAAATAATAAAGTGTGGTTGAAATTTTAACATGACTCAGGTTTCTTATTTAAAGATAGGGAATGGCGTGAGAAGGATAATGTAATGTGACACCAAAATTGAAATGGTTTTATTAAGAACTTTTCAAAGCAAAGATGATGAATTTAAGATGAAAGTGAATTAAGGACTTATGGTGCAAGACAATGTAAATGCTTAGAGACAAAATCCACAAAAATAAAAAAAGAAACTTTTCTAAATCGACATTTAACTGATTAGCACACTAACAATGCAAATGTGATGAGTGACGAAATTAAATGGTCATGATGCATGTGGTCAACAAATGAAAAATATTATGAGTAAAATTTATGGTGTGACAAGTTTATTAAAACTAGAGATTGTAAAGAAGATGTTCATTATCTTATCATTTGTTTTTGATCTGACCTGATCAGAAGGGGATCACTAGCTGGCCACACTCTGTTGGACTGCCGCCTGTTCACCGGTGATAAGGAGGAGGAGGGGGTGTACCTGCAAGGCACTCTGATGCCAAAGTAAGTATATGGGCAGAGTGATCACAAGTACAAAAAAAGGGGTAAGAAGTGAATTACCTGACCCTCTTATGAAAGAGGGTATTTATAGAGAGACCCCAACGCTGGGCCAACAGTCACTTGTGTTGGGCTGGATTGCCAGACCCAACCCAGGTGACTGCTAGGGCTTACATGGCGTAGTTAAGACCAGGACGTGGTCTTCGCCCTAGACCTGCTCTTTCGAAGGTGGGCATTTAGTCGGTGACGTGTCCCCGCGGAGGGGAGCACGTGGAGAACATGCGAATGACACGTTGATCTCCCCGCGGAGGGGAGCTTGCGAGGTTTCCCGAAGGTGTGTTGTTCTCCCTACGGAGGGGAGCACCCGAGGGCGTGGGAGAGACACGTTGTCTTGCTCGGCGGTATGGGGATTCCGCCCGCAGAGGGCTGTTCTGCCCGACGAGGGACATTGATTGGCAGCGCCTTCCGGCGAAGGGGAGAGCGCAGGGGGCGTCCTGAGGCACGCTGTTCTCCTCGGCGGGAGCATGCTCTGCCCGTCGAGGGGTCACGTGCCCGACCGTCCTACTTAAACCATATTGGGTCTTTATTGTGTATCATTGGGCTGGGTCGCGAGGTGAGGTCGGGGCCCAGGCCAGAACAGTTTTTATGAAAACAAAAAAGTTTATCTTAGAAGAAAGATCAAAAGAGAAAAAGATTGAAATCAAGTTTTCAAGATTAGTTAAACTTTGATAATCAATTGATTAAAGATAGAGATTAAGGTAAAATGATAATTTATGTGTATATAAGCATTAAGTGCTCAAAAATTTCTTCATATAAAACCTCTAGCATGTGCATATACTTTCGTACAAGTTATTCAAACTTTCATTTTTGCAAATTATTGAGGTTGTATTCGACTACAACAAAGTGTAGCTAAATACAAATGACAAACAAAGGCGAAATTGTGAAATTTACAGTCAACTACGAAGGTCTATATTTGAATATAAGTCGTGCTGTTTTCAACTACGAAGATTTGTAAATACAAGTCCTGAAAGTTCAAAATTTCAAAATGTTGGAAGTACTGTATTCGACTACACACATACCGTAGTCGAATACAAATTCAAATTAGTGCATTTATTCACTATTGGAACTATTTCAGATCAGTGCAAAATTTCATTATTGATTGTGAATGATTGCATATTTATCAAGAGATACTCTAGGATGTATAATATCTGTTGTACATCAGAGAACATACCAAGAATTTGAACCTTTTTCAATTATATTTTTCAATCAATTCATCTGCTATTTTTCAATGTGTTCGTAACATTGACATAAAATTTATGTGCATAAATTTCATTCATTAAGAAAAAGTTTCTAATCTCTTGAGCATTTATGATTTGTATATTTCTTGAATTGATTCTTTGAAAGAGAAGGTCAAAACGGTCGAAATACTCAAAAACATTTAAAGTTGTATATAAATTATCAATGGTTTAAATTTATACTTTTTTACCTAGTATTAATTGTAATTGTAATATATGTTTGCAAGTAGGAAGTATTATTGTTTTTATTTGCTGAAAAATGTTATTTATATTAGGGTGATTCAAAGTCCACTATAAATTTGATATAAGATTTGTATAAAAATTATATAATTTTGTGTGTATTTTTTTTTTACTTTACTACATCATATTCTAAACTAGAAAAATAAAAAATCAAAAAAATTTAATCACCTAATACACTCTCCCTCTTAGTTATAACTTTGATATTTTTCGACATCAAATAAAAAATATGTGTTCAAACTTGCAACATCTTAGTTATTCAACTTTAATTATTTATCTAGAAAGAAAAAAAATAATTTAATCATATTTTGGCAAATGTAAAAGAAAAAGAGTTCTATTATAACAGTGTTTCCTTCTCAAATGTGTGGCCATAATTTGGTGTTTGTTAACCCTCAAATTTGTGGCCAATCAACAGTGAGCTTAAGCAATGAATCTATGATATAAGACAAACAAGATAGACGAGCTGTTGCTTGGTGTGCCATGGCGTCCATTCTCAAAGTATCTTCGTTTATCTCTCCTCTGCACCAAAAGGTAATTTTATAATCCCCAATCTCTTCTCACTTTTTGCAATTTCTAACCTAGGGGATTTTAATTTCTATTGTTCATCTATCTTTTTTCTTCTTATGTTGCAGTTGAATTATGTCAGTTTTTCGCCCAAATTTCAGCAGGTTAGTGTAAGAAATGGGAGATTGAATGTTCCCGCAATGACAGTAAAAGCTCAAACTGCCGTTGAAGGGGATGTAATTGAAAATGAATCAGTCTCCTCCAATGAAGAAAAGGGTATGTAACAGGTTTTGTTCGTCGAGAATTTCAGAATTCCTTTAGATAAACTGTTTTTATTGTATAAATTCTGTTGTCGATGAATCTTATCCAGAATAATAGCAAAACACTGACTACACACTAATCATTCGCGTTAGACTTGTTGATGTTTATAAGTTATTTGAACAGTAAGTATTGAATAATCTGAAAATAACTTAAAAAGATAAGCTAGTTGAGAATGGGTGCGCAAGTAACTTGATACAAGAGACTTGGTGAAGAAGTGTGTTTGGATTTAGAAAATCTCACACTTAATGTTGTGCTCGAATAGCAATTAGTAACGAAAAAGAAAAGAGACAGTCAATTGCAAGAAAATTAACACGATCTTTGTTTATGTAGTTTGGCCTAGTTTGGTTACGGTTTACACCGACGCCTATATAGCAGTTGAAGTTCCGTACTCTTACATGAATGAATTAGAATTTACAGGATTACAAGGCATATATACAATACTACCTCGACCCATACCACTGAGGGTTATCACACTCGCACTCCAGTGGCCCTCATGTTCACTGTTTTAGAGTAGCTGCTTATTTGTCTTATTATTGCTATGAGTATAACTTTTGTTGGTATTTGTTCAGATTATGGAGTTGTTAGTGTTCACCATGTTGGAATTTTATGTGAAAACCTAGAAAAATCACTTGACTACTATCAAAACGTTCTAGGTATGCCTACAGCTCTTGAAACTAAATAACATTGTTTGTGTTCTAGCTAGAACAATTATATTGATTGATAACAACTAATAAATTTAATGAAATATATATAGGTCTTAAGATAAACGAAGCTCGACCACATGATAAACTTCCATACAGGGGTGCTTGGTTGTGGGTAGGGTCTGAGATGATTCACTTAATGGAACTTCCAAATCCGGACCCTCTAACTGGACGACCTCAACATGGTGGTCGAGATCGTCACACTTGTATTGCAATCCGAGATGTTTCTAAGCTCAAAGCAATCCTTGATAAAGCTGGTATTTCCTTCTTTTCTTTCCTCTTTCCTTAAAGAAGAGTCTTAATATAGAGTTATATTGAACTTAACAAAACTTAAAGATTCTCTATTTTATGTCATTTTCTCTGGTTTTTCAATTTTGATTGTAGGTATACCCTACACACTTAGCCGTTCCGGAAGACCAGCAATCTTTACTCGTGATCCTGATGCCAATGCACTAGAGTTCACACAAATAGATGATTAATGTTTCTGGAAATTTTTACCACTAGAGTTAACACAAATAGATGATTAATGTTTCTGGAAATTTTTACTACTCTGTTGTCCACAAAACAAATGGCTAGAAACTTGAAATATATGAATATGTAAATGATTGTATATATGTAAAAGGCTGAACAGAGTTTCTGAGATTCTTCACTATAAGATAGGAGCCATGGCTCCCCAAAAAAACTCCATTTCATTGCTTATATTTATATATAGGAAAAATGTTAACAATTTTATCTTAAAGATATATGTTAAAAATTGTCTTAAAAATAAAGTTTGGAAGAGAATTTGTCTTTTTTACACTGACCCGTCGTCAAATCGTAATACGCAGCAAAACCATTACACTTTTTGAAAAAAATCAATAAAAAATGCAAACAATTTTTTTTTGATGAAAAGATAAATTTCATTAAGAAGAAGAAAAAACAGAACAAGGAGGAATGCTTAAGGTGGGAATGTGGCTAGTCCAAGTTCTAAAACCTAATGACTTACCAATTCCAATCATATGGTGAGCATCCAAGTTACATAATCTACTAATAAACATCAGAATAACACTATTAAAATCCTTAACTAACAATCTACATTCAACAAAAACAGCGTCCAAATCAGCAATAAAAATCGAACCGTTAATACAATTTATCACTGCCTGAGCATCCAATTGCAGCATAAAACACTTTAACTTCAGCTCTTTAGCCAATACGAGAGACCAACGGATGGCTAGAAGCTAAGCAATCGCGGGATCAGTCACACTTGAAAATCTCTTAGAAGCAGCAAGAAAAATGTTAGAAGTAGGATATCTAATACTACATCCAAGAGAAACAAAACCCTCTTCAAAACATCCCGCGTCAGTTTGAATAATCCACTCATTAAACTTCACAGAATTGAGCTCCCTCCCAGAATTAGGACAACCAGAATTTTTTACCACCATAGCACCTTCATGGAACATGTTCCAAATATCCGCAGTAGTGGCGCAAGGTTCAGGTTGAAGTTTCTTGAAAACCACGCCATTACGCACCTGCCAAAATTTCCACAAGCCAATCCCAACCAACTCCCCAAGTAAAACATCTTTACTCCCAAAAATCTCCCCAAACCAATCCATGAGACCACCCGACTCTGACACCCGAATACCCAAAGGAGCAGCAAAGAAAGTTCTTTTAACGAAGTTGCAGCGGAGGAAGAGATGAAGAAAATTTTCAGAACAGACATTACACAAAAAGACAAGAATCGTCAACGAACATACCTTTCTTCCTCAAATTATGTTTGGTAGGCAAGATATCTTTCGACAAACGCCACCGAAAATTCTTGATCCTAGGATTCACGGCCACCTTCCACAGATTTTTCCATAACTTCTAGCCGCTTCTACTGAATGATCCAGGATCCTCCCTACGTCTTTGTTCTCCCAGCCAATGGTATGCAGTTTTCACCGAAAAATTACCATATTTCTCATGGTGCCAAATTAGTTTGTCCTCAGGAAGATTGAAAGAGAGAGGAATACTGCTGATATGAGAAACGTCATCGGCATTGAAATTGTCTTTCAGAATCTTTAGATTCCACCCACCTAGATCGGAGTTAATAAGGTGGCTGACTCTAGTTCTCGGATCGAACACACGAGGTTGGTTGGAAATCTTAAAACCCTGAAGCGACGAAATCCACCTGTCAAGGCCAATGCTGATTTTTCTCCATTACCAACACATCATCTAGAACCACAAATCACCACATCCTTAGCGCTCAAAATGCTACGCCACGCATAGCTAGAATTGTATCCACGAGGGGCCTCCTTAATGGTGCAACGAGGATAGTAGCGCCCCTTAAATAATCTCTCAAAGAGGGATCTGTCACCCTGCATCAACCTCCAGAACTGCTTCCCCAAGAGGCTAGTATTAAAGTCATGAACTCCTCTAAAGCCTAATTCCCCTCCCATTTTTCCTGTGCTAATTTAACCCAACGTAACCAATGAATCTTCTGTTCCCCCTCCTTCGATCCCCACCAGAACTTAGACAACATTGACTCAATATCTTTATAGCTTCCTTCAGGAATGCGGTAACCACTCGTGATGTACTCCCTCCATTCTCTTTTATAAGCAAATTTTGACTTTCTAAGTTCATTCAATAAATGATGTATTTGAACTATATATAGGTTATATGCATTAATTACTTAATGAATCTAAAATGTTAAAATTTGCTTATAAATAAGAATAGAGGGAGTAGGTTGGTATCGCCTGCGCTATAGCCTTGATCAAAACCTCTTTTCCTGCTCTAGAAAGAAATGTTTCCTTCCAGCCTTTCACCTTTTTCCAGACCTTATCAATAACAAGTTTAAACACCTCTTCCTTTGATCTTCCAAAGACTATACCGGAGGCCCCAAGTATCGAGAATGACTACCAACACCAGAAAACCCCAACTTAGACTTGATTCTTTCTTTGACATCCTCTGAAACATTACCACTGAATGAGACTTCAGACTTATCTGCATTGACAACCTGACCAGACGCCCCTTGATAGGTCTCAAGAATTTGAGTGATACACAACACTTCCTCCTCACTGGCTCTAGCAAAAAGAAGGTTATCATCAGCAAAGAAGAGATGAGAGATAACATTTGATCTTCTCACCACTTTGATACCATGGATTCACTTCTCAAGAACCTCTTTCTTCAGCATCCCCGAAAGCACATCTGCAAAAATAACAAACAAATAGGGTGAGAGTGGGTCTTCTTGACAGAGACCCCTGTTAGGAACAAAACTTCTGCTGGGTTGGCCGTTGATAAGCAGCTGATACGAGACAGTTGAGATACAATTGTGGATCAGGGTAACCATAGACTGAGGAAAACCCAACATTTTCAACGTGGAAGTAACGAAGTTCCATTCCAGCCTATCATAAGCTTTTGGCATATCCAGCTTTAAGGCCATAATACCTTTCATACCTTTCTTCTTGTGCTTCATCCAATGAAAACACTTCATGGCAATGAGGGCATTATCAGTTATAAGTCTCTCGTGGATGAAAGCACTTTGCTCCTCACTTATGATTTCTGGTAGAAAGCTCTTTAAACGGTTAGCAACAACTTTAGTAACAACCTTTATGATGACGTTACACAGACTGATGGGTCTGAAATCCAAAGAGACTGAAGGATGCTTCTTCTTCGGGATGAGGATGGTGGAAGTATTATTTGTTAGACTATGGCACGGATCTAGAAGGGGGGGGGGGGGTTGAATAGATCCCAATTAAAATTTGAGTTGGCGCTACCAATTAAAAACTGGTTTTGAAAATTGGTTTTAAGTGCGGAAGCGGCCGAGGAAAATATAGTCTAAAACGAACAGTTATTGGAAAACCGGATATGCGTAAGCCTTTGGATTAATGACAATATGGAAAATAGAATCACAACAGTAATCACACTTATCAATGATCTAATTCAGTTGTTAGGATTCCTAGTTCCAATGATTTAAGGAGCAAACCAAAACTAGATACACAAGTAAGATAATTTTGGTTTAGGCAATTTCTCAAACACTTGGTGTGCAAAACACTCCAAGTGATATTTATGTTGAGTAAGTGATTCCAACTAACCTAGTACAATGTCTTATTGTACTTTGGAGTCAAAAACAGATTTTTAACCTCTTACTCAATTGATATCACAGTTTGACAATAGTGCTTATACAAAAATCACTTATTTTTGAGCTATAACGTAAATGCTGAAAAATAGAGAAGACAAGTATTTGGTGAGGCAGTTCCCCCGTCGTCCTCGCTTCGGGGTACGTCTGCCCTCAATTCTAAAACTAGAATTGAGATAGATTTTATAGATATCACCTGTTGAATGTAACAGTTTATACAAGGATTGAGCAGCAAATATACAATAGAAATCTCAATATGTTGAATGTTGCTTTCACTCCTTGCCCCTTGATTCAAGATGAATCAAGTCCTCCGATCGTTGTTGATGGACCTCCGATTCCATTGTTGTTCAAACCTTCGGCTCCGGCTGATCTCAACAACAACAAATCGAACCCGAGATCTTCCCTTCGATGTCTCTGAATCCGCTACTAGACTGTTGAAGAACACCTCTTCACAATCACCTTCGCTCAGTTGACTCTTGATGAAGAATCTCGTCCAAAAACCCCTAAAATTCAAACCAATCTTGGAGGATAAAACCCTAACGATTTTATTCAAGAAAGAACCTGTCACAAGCTTCAACCCGAACTAGATTACCCAATCTAAGCTTCGAACCTTATCACCTTTAATCACTCACAATGCACTTCAAAAATGGTTGTGTGTAATTGATGTGTTGTGAGATGTTGAAGATGAAGATGATGAATCTTGGACACCTATTTCACTCTTTCTTTTTCTTGAACACATGAATCAATTTTTATCAAATGTTAATGTGACATAAGTGGTTAAACATGTATATATAGTACCAACCCAACTAAAGACATAACAGTATTTCAAATAGTAGAGGGAATCATTTAAAAACTGGATTTCCGCGCGAACGGTCGACCGCAGCAGGTCTGTGCGTCGACGCATGGCCTGCGTTTTTGGGAATCTGGAAAATGTATCAGTATGCGTCGACCATACGGTCGGCGTGCGCTGACCCGTTGAAAAATATTTCCTTCATGCGCCAACCCTATGGTCGACTCATGCCTTTATGCGCTGACCCGTTGGAAAATATTTCCTTCATGTGCCGACCCTATGGTCAACTCATTGCCTCCATGCGCTGACCAGTGAACAAATGTTTTGATGCATGCGCCGACCCTATGGTCGACTCATGCCCTGCAAACCTGCAAAAATTGATCTTTTTGTGGTTTTTCATGCCTCTGGTCATGATTGCATTTTATCTACACATAGTATATTTATTACAACAGTTTTAAGACAGGTATAAAAGGATATGGTAGGTGATACGTTGCATTTGTTTAGTAGATCTGGAGTTTATAATTTCCAATCCATCCAAGGTTGTAATTTGTCATCATCGAAACCTGTATTGAACAATGTCTTGCAGACTCGTGTGATGTGTGGCGATTTGCCTCCACATTCTCCCCCTTTTTGATTATGACAACTTGTATACAACTAAAACAACCAATATGCAATGTATACACAAGCTTCCCCTTTCTTTTGTAATATAAGGCTGCAGAACAAACAACCGTCAACTGTTGTGAACATCCTGGCTTGGCTTTGGTGCTTGCTACATGTTGCTTGCTACATGTTCTTCTCCCCCTTTGACAACATCAAAAAGAGAAGGAGAACGCATCAATTAACAAAATAACATACAATAGGTGATAGTTAATTACCAAACTTCACACATAAGAGTGATAATGAACAAAAGTAACTGGAATTAATAGATAATTAAGAAAACATGCAAATAGGTGAATATTCAGGCAAACATAACACGGAAAAATGGAAAGTACACAAAAGAAACAAATATGCAACTATGTAACTAATGTCCCCGACCCCGACCTCGGCCCCTCCCCCGGTATGCAGTATCGGGATTGCGGTAAGGATTCGAGAAGTCCACAAACGCTTCTACGGACATGTTGAGGTGATGGAGACAGTCGGTGATTTCCAGGTCTTGCCTTTCATGTGATGCAACAAGAGCTTCAAGACGGGCGTCCATCCAAGTCGAAAATGAATTTAACCTTTCATTTTGAGTACGAAGCTCAGCTCTGATGTGCTCCATTTGCGTATCTTGACTC